GCTTACTCGGTACGTGCATGCTCAATACGACTTACTTTTTTTTAAATGGCAACCCCAGTTTTTTATGCAGATTCGGGTAGAATATTTTTTTTTAAACATTAATTGTATAAAAAGTATTTTTCTATTTTCAAAACTGACCAAGTTAGAGTAAGTCAATAATTGGATTTATGCATAATATGTGTTTAATGTAATTTTCATTTATAACCAATGGAAGTAATAAAATAAGTGACAAATAAATGTTTAATGAGGGACGGAGTGGCCGAGCGGACTAACGCGTAGGTTGCGACGCACACCGTGGCCGGTTCGAACTCGGCCACGGGTGGCATTTTTCTTTTGGCAGTTACGGTGTCCGGAGTTAAGTGCTCCCTTTCACCTCCCGAAAACCAAATTTAAATACAAAGACACCCATCTGAGATATTCAGTGGTACCTAATATCGTGATCACACTGTATATAGGTAGGTATGTGTAGTACCTACTATAATGTAATATACAGCTAAATGCCAATTGTCATACAGGCTGTTATTACTGGTTACTGGTTAGGTAGTACCTATATTACTGCATTATTACCACTCGGGCCTCGGGGTATACAAGTACCTATACAACAGTAAGCAGCTTACGATGATTTGACAAAAACTGGTAAGGACTGTGGGGGAGATTAATTTGGGTCGATTAATTTTTCAAAATAATATTTAATGTCTATGGTCTATCGATAATTAAAATAATCTAATAATCTAAAGTCCAAATAGATACCGATAAAACCGGTAAAAACTTATTGTTTTATTTATTATTTTTACTTTATATAAACAACTTATTGGCAAATAATTATTTCACTTATACAGTTATACCTTTAAATTCCCCGTCTGGTATAGTATTATTGGTTGTGGTGGGCGATTTCATTAGTGAGTACGTTAGTTTCATTAGAGAACATTAGTGATCGGAAAATTGGTTCATTACATTTAAAATTATCATCGAAAACATGAATCCCTTCAGTATACATATTATGCTTATATTATACCTACACAAATACGTAAAGTATAAATTAGATTCTACTTTATTTGGCTAGGTAATGGAGTATTTTGAAATGTATTTAACCTCAGTCAAAGTTGGTTAAACAGCAAATAAAGCATTTGAACCAGAAACTTTAGTCATTACAGTACGAATTTTAGTGATGTATAATATAATGTAATACAATGTTACATGCACCTTGTTTATTTTACCCATTCATAACACATGTATTAAATTCAAATATTAGTTTTTCTTTTTTACCATAAATATTATATTATGGGTAGTATTACCGTATTTACAAATTGTATATTTTTGTAACATTTATAATATAGTAGAGTCACACAGATTATAACATCATATACCGATTATTTAATATTTTAATGACAAAGATAAATACGTAGGTATAGTAAATAAACTGGTAGGTAATCAAATATAATTCTTGTACTCTAATTATAGTACATAGTTCAAACGAGTATAATATAGGTAGGTTGGTACTTACAAACACTCATTATGTTGACAAGAATCAAAAATTATTTCGACATTCTATTTTTCAAAAATCTTAGATGTGTATACCATGGTATTGTTATGCTGAGGAGGGGGGGTTATATGTGGGGTCCCAGAGCTTTTTGATTCTGAGTGGAGAGATGAATTCATTGTTACAATTATGTGTTTTTTATTTATTTTTTTATATCTGTATAAAAGTTTTACTACTTTAGAAATGAATTTGGTTTTTGGTGTTACTTTAAAACAAATGACAGTTGGTACATGAAATTTTCACTGGTTGTTTATATTTGCATTTTCTATACACGATAACATTTTCAAAATATTTTGGTTTATGTTGAACTGTTTATAGGGACATTTTCATTTTCATTTTCCATTTTTTTTTTTCAGTTTTTTTCTAAATATATCAATAAAATTTTATTTGTAATCTAATAGAAGGCTCCTAGTATATTTTTTCAAAGGCAGATGAAAAATATTAAAAATCTTACTTACAGTTTTTTTATAAGCATTTAAAGTTCAAAAATTGACAAAATATGGAAAAATCACGAAAATTAGCAAATTATTTTGAGTTAAGAATTCGTAAGAAATTTTCTTTTTAAATCTAAGATTTGAAAATGTAATATAAGATTATCTAACTTTATCAAAAAAAAAAACATGCCTAAAGAAAGTCAAATTAAATTTTAATGACCTTTTGAAATTCAAATTTTTACAATATTGGATATTCACTCGATTTCTCATACAGCGATTTCCTTATTTTGTTGTAATTCAAAAACGGATAACTTTAGATACATGAACATTTCACTGAATGCTTATACTAGCATTTCCTACACACCATACAATTCTGAAAATATTTTGACTCTTTTTGAGCTGTTTACGGACATTTTAAGTTTTCAATTTTTTTAGTTTTTTTTCTATAAATATCAATTAAAGTTTTATCTGTTGGGCCAAAAAGTATAAAAATTTAATACCAGGCTCCTAATATATTATTACAATAGCAATTGGAAAATATTAATAATACATAGGCACAATATTTTTTTATAAGGATTTTAAAGATCAAATTTAGACAAAATTTATCAAAATCTCGAAAATTATCAGTCATTGTAATTAATAAATTATAAAATGTTCAGTTTTTATAGCTAAAGATTGAAAATTTAAAACAAAGGTTCTCATAAATAGTTCATACTGTAACCAAAAAATGTAAAAATATATAAACACAGTTATTTTTTACAGACATTTTAAATTCAAATTTGGACGAAATCACATATTAAAAAACCTAGAATAACTATTTTAGTTATTTTGTTGTGATTGAATAATGTTATTCGTGAGTACTTGAAAATTCTAAAGTGTACTATTATATATCTATGATAGTATCACGGTTTTTTTTGATGTATAACGCGTTATAAGTACCTAATTGATATTGTGATATGATTAATTTGGAATGTATTATAGTTACCTATTATAGGTCAAATTTTGGTTTAGTACCATAGATATGTATATAATATGTCTTATACCTAGACTGACATACCGTCTCCGCTCAGAATCGTTTTTCTTATACAATGATATTATATCGTTGAATTCAAATTTAATATCATCCATTATACAGTGACCCACTTGTAACCTACTGTACAGCAGAGCGATACCCACTTGCCCATCTTTTTTTTTTTAAACTTGGGTTTGTGTAAAATATAATATTTATTTATTTTTCACTTTATTTGTTATTTTTCCCGACGCTTTCTATAACTATTGGGAATTTTCTATTTTAACCTCTTAATGGTACCAACTAGATTCACTTAGCTATCAGAAAATATGCTTTTGTCGATAGTAGGAATATTTTCATTACCCCAAATTTTTGTGACGTAGAAGAAAAAAATACACATCATTGTAAATACAATACATACATTCGCTACGCTCAAAATCTAAAAATAAAAATGTGTTTTAATATTTATTGTATATTCATATATTCTAGTAATATACTGACTATAAGTACTGAGTATGTGAGAAAATGTTTAAAAGTATTTACATTTTATGAAACAAATATAAACTGTTAACATTCAATGTAGAAGTTGCTTTATACATCCACATAAAACAATTTAAACTTAACTAAAGAACCACGTAATGGCTTGACTCGTGGGTCACAAACTCATAACATCTCAATTCTCAACGACTCAACACGTCATTCTAAAGCTTTAACAAAAAAAAAAAAAAGTTTTATGTTTTATAATATTATGTATTACTTATTAACTATTTGTTACTTTATATTGATTGATACTTATTTTAAATACCTAGTAGGTACCTAATATTATAATATTATAATATTATATTAGTGTCACTGATGAGTAAATAAAAACTGATATAGTTATAGTATTATAATCATTGACAAGTAATTCCTGAATCATGGCTTCATACGTAGATGAATATCATTCGGTAGGTATCAATGTTTACTAGGTTTACTATAATCAATACTAATCATCTTAAAGTATATCGCGGGAAACCTACGAATAAAAAAATTTCATTGACATAATATTTAAAATTAAAAATCTTATACGCGTTATGCGTAATACAGTATACGTATGGCAATGCAAATCAACCTTCGTTGGCATAACATTATCGCGGACAAACGGTATAAACCGGAAGTAAGGAGACTGTTTTAGAGTGCGGTTACACAATGCGTATAATATAATAATAATAATGTAACATCCCGAACGAGTTACCGAACGTGAGTTGAATCAACGTGGGTGACATGTGTGGATTTCTTCTATACGCACCGCCGCCGAGTACAACACTCTGCCAGAGGTGAAGAAGAAGCGTCTGCGGAAACTGGTCTCTCGTCTTTAATACTATACATTATGTGCGAGTACAGGTATATCGTCGGCATCCATGCACAATATACAAATGTATAATATATTGGTATATACTATATACATATATAGTAGAGATATATATATTATGTATATATATGTGTGTGTGTGTGTTCGCGATCGGCATCGTGTATTTCGCTATTACGACGACATCGCAGACACACACCGTTAAGGCCAATATAATAATATCGGAGTCTGTAACCATCGTTTACTTATATACCTAATACTTATACAAACACAAAGTATTATTACTATTATTAATACGGGTACATAATAACATAATATTATACGCGTAACCGGAATAGCGTCCAATAATAATTACTATGCGAATGTACATAATATTAATTTATTATTATTATTAGTTATTATTATTATTTTTATATTATTAAAATAGTACTCGTATGTGGGTATAGTGTGTTATACCTACGGAGAAAGTACAACGACAAACGACGAGAAGTAAAAAAAAACTCGTACAACTATAATAACGCGACCGCTTTGCTGTGATGGCGGGCGAGCGGTGGGAAGGAAGAGGATCAATGGGAATCTTCTTTACCGGTTATAAAATATTATTATAAAACGGCAAGCGAATCGGCAGGTGACTATCAGTCGATAACAGTCAGCGGACATTAAAATATTATGCGCATTTTCGGCATGGAGTGTTTAAAGGTAATATAATATTTTATAGTACAATATTCTCGATCTTCAACGGTGGATGTAACGATTTCCGTCGTTGCACTTATGTATAAGAATATAGGACAATAATAATTGATATATTATGTATAAAAGACGATATCCGCCTAATGCGTTGTTGGAGGCGATATCGCGTAGTACGATCACCGATCGTAGTTTATATCACTTTTTAGAGAAATTATGATGTTATACCTACATAAATGTTCGAATATCATTTCGGTTGTATGATGCTTACACCTGTGAATTTTATTTTTTTGTAGATGTGTGTCGTCGTGGGCTTGGTCCTGATTGCTGCACCTGGTCGACCAGCGGCTGGAGCACCGTCGCCGACCAATGCTTACGTCTTTCAACCGCACAAACGCAGCCCCGCCGACCCTAACCTGGATTTGACTTCCACGCTGACAACGGAATTCGGTGGTTTCGGGCCAGATTTCGGTTCCGGTTCCGGTTTCCCATCCACCGCAGCGGGCTTCGGGTTAAACGACGCAATAGACGGTTTCGGCACATCTGCCGGACTACTGCACTTGTCCCACCCATACTCCACTACAGCATTCGGCTCTGGGTTTGACTCGATTGGTTATCCATTTTCCGAGTCCACGCTTAACCAACTTCAGTTCAAAGCTTCGCTTGCTTCCGGTTCATCGCCCTCACTCCCGGTCTCTATAAAGTATAGTCCATCGGTTGCCAATGCTGGTCTTCATCAAACCCTTATTACCGGACTTCCAGCCACCGAGTCCGTGAGACCAACTGCTCAAAGGACAGTTTCACTGCAACAGATTAGACCTAACGAGCAGCGCGTTCAGGCTGAATCATTTAACGCCGCCCCTGCTCCGCTGCAACAGTCAAATTCAGCTGCTGTATCGGTACCACAAAAACAAACGTATGCAATTTATGCTCCACTGCAACAGTCATATCCGGCTTCTGCATCTGTACCACAGCGACAGTCGTATCCAGCTGCAATATCTGTGCCACTTCAGCAGTCATATCCAGGCATTGCATCTGTTCCACTTCAACAGTCATATCCCACATCCGTATTTATACCACGGCAACAGTCATTTCCAGCCACCGCGTCTGCTCCGTTACAACAGTCATATCCATCTTCCACATATGTACCACAGCAACAGTCATATTCAGCTGTAATATCTGTGCCACTTCCACAGTCATATCCAGGCACCGCATCTACTGCGTTTCAACAGTCGTTTGTGACCGCTGAATCTGTACCACAGCGACAGTCATATCCGGCCACTAAATCTGTACCACAGCAACAGTCATATTCTCCTTCTGGATCTATACAACAGCAACAGTCGTATCCGGCCGCTCAATCTGTACCACAGCCACAGTCGTATTCTCCTTCTGGATCTGTACCACAGAAACAGTCGTATTCTTCTTCTGGATCTGCTCTGTTGCAACAGTCGTATCCGGCCGCTGAATCTGTACCACAGCAACAGTCGTATTCTCCTTCTGGATCTGTACCACAGCAACAGTCGTATCAGACTTCTGGATCTGTACTACAGCAACAGTCGTATCAGACTTCTGTATCTGTACCACAGCAACAGTCGTATCAGACTTCTGTATCTGTACCTCAGCAACAGTTGTATCAGACTTCTGGATCTGTACCACAGCAACAGTCATATCAGGCTGCATTATCTGTGCCGTTGCAACAGTCATATCCAGCCACCGCCGAAAATTTCCGAATTTCTGCATATCAACCATCCGCATCTAGTGGTTCAGAGAGTTCACTAGTCGCGTCTCAAGCTGGATCTACACCAGATCTAATTTTGGAGCTGAGACCTCCACCGTACACCGCGCCAGCATCGTCGGTTGATTATCAAAAAAATGTGAATATTCCCTCTACCGCGTCATCTTCCTATCCACCAGCTGACAGCAATAACAAAAATAACATATATCTAGGTAACGATTTTAGCTTGTTGACAGCTCCCGCGGCCGGTACATCCGGTCGGAACCAGGTCTCCAATGCCCCGAACGGCGGCCAGCTCCCCGGAAATACAAACAACTTCCTTGGGATCGGTTCGAACGCCAAACCCGATCAGACTCCCTCGAACACCTATTACACGGTCCCCCTTCCAGTTCCCAGCAGTTCAAATAGTGCGTCAAGTGGTGCTCCCAATTACTTTTCGATTCCCAGCATATCTTATTCCTTAACCAGTACCGGAAACGGTGAGTTTGCCGGTTCGACAAGTGCACCCCCAGCTGCCGCAGTACCTTCTATTGGAACCGACCGCGGTGGGCCTGCAGTAGTTAACCCTACGTACAGAGACACCAACTCCATTCCAAGCTTGTCTTTCACCAACTCCAATTCAATTTCTGCGAACTCGTATAGCGATTCCAACTCAATCCAGAGTAGTTCTTATACCATACCCAATTCTCTAGTTGCCGGAAACTCTTACAGTGACTACAAACTCAGTACCGAAAATTTTTACGGTGACTCGAATTCGATTTCATCCAACAGCAAACGTGAATCGTCCACTGTCAATCCAAACTAAAAATTTCCCAGGTTATGTTAGGTTTGGTTATATATAATACTTCAATGACGTGGGTGTTTATAAAACCATATATTAAAAACATATTTGTAGACAGACTGTGAGTATGACTTAATAATATACATATAAATTGTATATTTTATTTTTTTAATTAAATATATTTTAAGTACTGTTAGTTTTAGTTTTTGGAGAGTAAATTATAAAATATCTATGTGCCAATATAATTTTTTTCATTATTTATGAATGTTTAAAATATAATAATGTTGATCACTAATATTGTATTATAACTGTTTAACTGTGCTACTACAGTGTAATTAAACTAAAATATGTATATTCATATTGTAATATATAATAAATATTTGTATTAAAAAATTTGTTATAGAATTTTTTCCCCAAAATTTTGAGTTTTGTGCAGAATAAAAACATATTGGTTATACTCTCATACAGTTAAGTTACTACATATTACAGATGGATCAGGAATTGTTGTAGAAGCAATAATTAATAATAATACCGAATACCGGTAAATTATACTTTATATAAGGTATTTAAAAAAAATGTATTGTGAAAGTATATAAACATGTTTCCTTATTTGTATTTGTTTTGATGTTAGAGTTGTTACGTACGAATATTAAAAAAAAAAGGAAAACAATTTAATGATGACAATCGTATTTAAATAATATTATATAATGTAATCGTCTCTCATAATACCATAATAATAATATATTCGTTTATCTACATTGTTGATCGTACAATCTAACCGGTTTGAAATTTTGATTTCAATATACCTTTTTACTTGATTTTCGAAACAAGAAACGTTACATTTTTTTCATGCATCCAAAATAGATGATATTGAAATGTAATACAAGTTTTATATACACTGACAAATGTTATAAGCTATGTTTTAATGTTGTATACATAATTGATTTAGTTAATAAATATGGAAATATAACATTCTTATATTTTATGTAAAATTGTTATAATTTAATTTTGTATAGATTTGCATATTATTTAATGGCATATGATATAATATTAATATTTTTTCTACAAAACGTAGGTACCTACCTATATAAAATATTGCAAATTAAGGAAACTAGTGCATTCAGAGACGTGCTCAGTAATTTGTGTGTGTGTGTGTGACGTGTGTGTATGGGTGTATGTCATGTGTATCTGTGTTAAAATGTTTTTATTATTTATATAGGAATAGGATATATATATTATATGAGATATGAGATATCTATTATCTATTACAAAATATAAATAAATAATGTACAATTTTTGTAGCACAGAATATATTTTATTAAATTTAGCTAATGAAGTAACTACCTATCCTATTAATAAACTTTTACTAATTGTTACTGCTGTGTAGTTACTCTTCTCAAGTGTTCATATCCTGTAACGTGACAAATATATGTAGTATAAAATATTTATAATATAATATATTTGTCACGCTCATATGTTTATTGTAACTGTTGTTTACAAATTGTATATTTCCTAATAAATGTTAAAAAAAAAAAAAAATAACTTATAATACTATAAATTATTGAACGAAATCAAGTTTACGAGGATTTTCAGACAGTTCATTGAATACATCTTCAGCTGTTAGTGGTGCATTTTTGTGAATAGCTAATCTTGTCAATCAGTTAAGGGCGTTTTTAGTACAAAAACATGTCTTACTGGAAAAACTCTCACGCCCTGTAAAGTAGTGTGATGTTATCAATATGTTTTATTCAAAATAAGAAAATATTTTGCAGGTCAGATCAAAGACTGATTTTAAAAATTATAATTATAGAAGTTACAATATGTATTTGAATAATGCACAAATTTTGTTATTTTTCAAAAGTATTTGTCTAGCACTATTTAAAGTAAAATAAAAATTCAGTCTTTGATCTCAACATTTCTAATTTATCAAAATTTGATATATCAAAGGGGCTTTAACTGGGAAGTATTTTTTGTTGATATAATACACCGTATAAACCCCACCTAATCTTCCCCATATATAGATTTGGGGCAGTAGATTAGTGAAAAAGTATTACCATTAAGGTAGCAACTAAAATATAAATTAGAATTTTCAAATTTTATAGAATTGTGGAAAATTGAAAAAATCAGTACAGACATCCTTAAGACAATTTTAAATTTTGAAGTACTTATATCACTTGATATGTGATCAGAGATGTCATATCTTATAAAGTTATAAACTATAATGTGGTGACGCGGTATCCAGTGTAAACTAGTAGTTAGGTCTGGTATCATTCGAGATAACAATTAAAATCTAATAATATCTACCGTTCTATTATATACATAGATATATCTTTAATCGTAATAATAACACAACTAATAAAAAACATTGTGCTTAGAAAATTGCTTGGTGTCTATCATAGTGTCATTACTGTTATATTTTGATATAAGAATGAAGAAAATAGAAATACAGTTATGTAAAATTAATAAACATGTATAACAGTCAATGGGTGGCGGGAGGGGGTCATGAGTGCATTTACTACATTCCTAAGAATGATATATATATTATATATATATATATATGAAAAAATGTACATTAAATTTTATACGGAATGAGACACTAATTGAGACGTATTTTATAAATAATATTAATTATAGATTCGTAAATGAAATGCTAATTGGTTGTCGTTACAGAGTGCTCCGGAAAATTTGGCATAAATATACGAGCTACAGAGCTCGTATATTTTGTAATTTGCTCCCTAGTTTATATAATAAATCTGCAGACGAATTTAAATTCATTCAGTGTATGTAATATTTAGTGTAATAATAGTACGTATCGCGTGAACATTAATAGGTAGTTATATAATTTAAATGCATTGTTCGCATTTATATAGTAATTAATACATCCCACTGCAGTAATATTATGAGATATTCACTCGAGGCCATACGTTTTGTTTCAATTAATTTTAATTAAATACTATCATATAAATGTTAACACAGTACTTCGAGGCAACTACCTACTACACTTCTACTTACCTATTACCTCACGTCCACACTTTAACTTCAATGACCAAATTAGATTATTATAATATATGTACCTATAGTCGTATAGACTATTACAACGGCGGATCAAACACGTCGTTCAGATAAGCATAGAAATCATTAAAAATATCTTATTCAATATTTAATTTCTAAATTTCGACTTTCAATTAAATCCTATCAGCAGTGTATGACGCTATCTATATGTGGACAAATTGCGGCAGTAGTTCAATAATTGGTCGAACAATGTTTGTGCGCCATCTCGAGTAGATTGGCAAACCGGATGGTATTTTTTCGACAGACCGCCAGGAGACATATTTTTCGCTAAATTGTCTGTACCTATATAAGTACCATACGAAAGCACAAAGATATCGTTGTTGTATAGATGAATACCTTTATGAATAAATTGACCTCAGAATTAAACACGCATGTCAATCGTATAGTAAATTATTACTCTTAAGCGGTAAACACGAATATAAATTTTAAAAAACCGGACAACTCGGTCTGCTTGTGTAGTACATTTCGAATTCACCTCGTCATTGAGTACTTGGAAAATATAATGCAATTGCAGTTTTGACACAACTTCATAAGCGACGTTTAATTCTTGTTATGTTTAAACCTTTTACAATATTATTTACTGTTACATTAATAAATTTCATAAATTATAATTTATTAATATTTGCATATTAAAAGGAATTAACCGAATTCCAAGTCAGGGGGCATTCAACCCCATAGCTTCACTTAAAACCACCACTGCTGTAATAGAAATGTTAAATTGGAATTCAATCATCATATTATATTAGATATATGAACGAAGACTGTGCGCCAGTCTCTATTTCTGATAATACTAATTAATTATATTATATTTATATTATCTTAAGTAATTTATTTTTCAATTAGAAAATATATGGAATGAAAAACATAGTTTTGACTCAATAACCACATAGCGTTGTTTATTATTATCCGGGCAGGAATTTAAATTACCTAAAAAACTTCTAAAAATTGACCTCAAAATGACCTAAAAAAATATACCCCAGATATAAAAAAAATGTATAATGCACTGAATAAAATTAATAAATTAATAAATATTTAACTCATACAAAAAAAAGGTGGGAAAGTGGATGTCGCTCTGCTGTTCAGTAGCTTACAAGTTGGTCACTGTAATGGATGGTGTTAAATTTGAATCCAATGATATAATGGGAAAACGGTTAGTCAGCCTTTGACATTACATACTAAGTATATTTGATGATAAAATTATTGTAAATAAAGTAATTTATATATTATAACCTATATACGTAGAATCTTGTTTTAAATTTTCAATCCTTGGCTATAAAAGTTGAACATTTTATACATTTTAACTACAAAATAATAATTAAATTTTAAAATTTACAAATGTTGTCAAAAATCGGACTTCAAACGATTATAAAAAAAATTGTGCCTATGTAAGTAGTTTGAAGTATAATTTTCAAGGTGTAGGTACTTCTAAGTTATGTATTTTTAATAGTTTTAAACTGCTATTGTAATAATATATTATCAGTATCCTTGTATTACATTTTCACGATTTTCGGCCCATAAATAAAATGTTATTGATATATACATAGAAAAAAAGACTATATGGAATTTTAACCTCCCCAATACACCAATTAGATTCACTTTCCCATCGAACTAGATACAGAAGTGGAAAATCGAAGCATTATGTGACTTCTTATCGTGTAAAAAGTAAAAACACAAAAATAAATTTTAAAAAACACATAATTGTAAAATCAATACATTCATGACTCCACTCAGAATCTAAAATGGAAAAATTCAAAATTATAATTTTAAAATTTATATAGATATAAAATAATATTTTGCCTACTTGTTTCATATAAGTTTATGAATGTATTTTATAACCAGTAACCAATAGGTAAGGAAAAGCATTCAAAAAAACTTTTTTCAAATTATTATGTAAATACTAATTGAAAAAATAAATAATAAAATGTAAAAAACACGAAGTACCTACGGCAATTGAAAACAAATATTTAAAAATTGTAAAAAAAAACACAATGTACAAAACAAAGTTTACAATTTTAAATTTTCAGATATCTCAATCCTATTCCGTACATTGAATGTTATGTCGTGTACACTGTACATACACGTTTCTAAGGATATTTTTCTTTAAGTTATATGGTAGGTTTAACTAATTTATAATCTAAAAATATCACAGAGTATATTACATACATAGTAATAATAATTATAATATTATAGGTATCGTGGTAATTTGCTATTATTATTAACTTATCGCGAATGATATGACTGGTATAAAATTAGACTAAATATTTTGAAATTTGCATTGTATAGAAAATAATGATCCATGCACCGTCGAAAAATTTCAAGTCTCTAAAATTAATATTTTTTGAATAACAACAACTTAACTAAAATTAATTAAGACGAAAAATTTATATTCCACTTTTGTAATATAATACTCAATATCAAAAATATTTCAACTTTAAAAGCCAAAAAATATATTGTAGTTATTATACCTATGCATGTTTTAAAGTATTACAGCTACTATGAACAAATTATTAAGAATCTTAATAAGCAATCGGCAATCGCATGTTCAGAATATTGATGAAAAAAATTTAAATAAGTCAAAAATTTAAAATGGTATTACTTTGTACTGTTCAAACTAAAAAAATCTAAATATTTAAAGGATTATTTCATAATATACAGAAAATTATAATATAAATATTTGTTGAGAACTTTCTACGAATATTTCTTTCTTTGTTTCAAAAAAAAAAAAAAAAACAATTGATTTTGACGAGAAGTAAAGTTGCGTTATCTGCTGTTTTCGTTGGTTCTTTTCTGAATATTATTGAGAAATTTACTTTTGATCTTCTCCCCTAAAACTCCAAAGTACCAACCACATAAAAGTGTCTACAAGAAATCACCTTCATTGTTGAAGATTATGTCTCATTTTCTGTTCCAAATCGTGATGACTTACATAAAAAAAATATACTTTTTATTATCATTATTGTAAAACCAACAAGAACATTTACTGCATCACTCAGTTTAAAATTGTAGATTTTGACATTTAGTGTGTTTTTTAGTCTTAAGGTACTTTCTTTTGTGTCACCAGTTTTGACCAATCTCACTGGGTCATCATAATATAGAGATATTTATTAAATATATTTTTATATCTTTTTTCAATTTTTATAATACCTTTGATTTTAAGGAATTTTAATTTTTACTTATTATTTATAATTTTAAATAATATGTTAATTCTTTAAATCAAGAAAAAATGCTATCTGTATCTTTTGTAATGTGAAGTTGTCCTCAATACTGAATATAAGTGCATCCAGTAGTCAGTATTATACAAGAAAACTTTTCAGTATATCATGATACCAAAAATTAATTAAAATAAAATTAGTGGAGGGGGTTAATTTTAATTTTATTCCTTCTGTTTGTTGTATTGCAAAATACGTATGTATACACCGAAAAAAAATCCTTGTTCATAATGATAAAAGCATATGTGTGTTTGACAATAATCTTGTAAACATAGGTCCAACAATTTTTTTTATCAAATTGATAATTATCAATTGTAAAATTTGTAATAACAAAACGATTATCAAATCAACAGAGTAAATTGTCATTACAACAAAAACCTGCTGTTAATAAGTTATACACATTTTGTAGTGGCGACAATACATTTGTCATAACAGTAATGTTTGATTGTAATTTAAACAAAAACATACTGTTAATAAGTAATACAATTTATGTTGTAGTGACAATACATTTGTCAAAACAAGCATGTTATTTTATTATTTAAATGGCATACTTTGCAGGGTGTTTAACCCCCTCCCCCTCGTAAGTAGTAACTTCATAATCTTCTTCACCATTCTCTCAATTAGCCACCACTGTCCTACACCACCATATGGATATGGGGGCCCTGTACCCTACCACTTATTTACTCTCACCAGATTTTTTTTAGTAATTTTATGTTTTGTCAATCCATCTAAACTTTGATCTCCCTCTCTATTGTTTAATATTTATTTCCCTAGGTACTCTTAATTCCACTGAATCATATCTCCCCATAACATGACCGAACTATCACAACCAATTCTCCCTTATACCAATTTTGTCTACAAATTAATTACATTTTTATTCTATCCTCCTTATTCGCTCCACACATCCAAATATAAATATAGAAAATATAGAAATATTAAAAAGTAATAATTGTAAAATATTTTTATTCAAAATACAGGTACCAAATATTGTATAGCTATTAACATCTGATTTGTAAATTATTTATACAGTTGTTCTTAAATATTAATATTATTAAAATATCAAAAGCAAAATAGTAAATTACATCTTATGTTAAATACTTAAATCTAATAAAATTTGTCCCAGCATATGATGACTTTTGTCAAATTTAGTGTTTAAAGAATAAAAATATTTTTGAATAAAGAGCCAAACAATATATGCTTCTGGTGGATATTCGAGATTAAAAAGATGAAAAATCTTAAAGCAAATATCAATTGCTGATATAATAGAGAATAATTTATATTTTATGGAATCAAAAAAAACTAAAATTTCTTTTGGTTTCGTAAGAGTACCAATAATAAAAATAAAAGGTTGGACTGGACGTTTTTCATTTTTTAGAATTTTAATATGATCTTCAATTTCAGACACAGTATTTTTGAACACAATAAAACTATTTTGAGAATCTTTAATGGAGTACTTCACTTGATTCTTTTTTCCATCTGAGTCCCTGGTTACTTTTTTTGATGTGGGAACAAATACAGCATGCATTAAATAAAATATAATTGTATATTTTTCATCTACAAAAAATTAATATATTTTATTAAAATTTATTAAAATTTGTTTTTTTAATGTATTTGATTACTTTCAGAAATTGTTGAATGAGACTCCTTCAAACTTTCAAAAATCTTACGACAATTCAAATCTTTTACATGCTCATCCATCAACAACATAGTTTTTTCTAATTTTACCTCAAACTGAGAAACAGAATTTGAACATTTTGGATACAGAGTATTAAAGTCAATATCAATCTGAAAAAATAATTAATTATTACATACTGTAAAATGAGGATATTTAAATTTACCAATGATCAAATCGTAAAAAAGGACATAGAGAAAATTATAACTTCCTGGTGCCCAGTCTTGTAAAGTATTCGAATACAAATATTCGGATACTTGTATTTAAATACTTATAAAGTATTCTAAGGTATTTCAAATATGGTATTTATACTATTGTTGTGATAAAAACTTACTAATCTGTATCCAAGTGGTAAGGCATAGTTTTTCCATTTGTTCATAATTTCTGTAGTAGAAGAAGAATTCTGAATACTGTTTATACGATATTTTGTTGTACCTTTCCATAATTTTTCAAGCTCTGGGAATGAACAATTAGCATCATTCTGTATTTGATCAATCATATAATGAATGTCGTCTTCAGGTTCTATAAAACATCATAGTTCATATAGCATTAAAGTACATAAAATATAATAATTACATTCAGTATTTTACGATAATTTACAAATTAAATGACAACATTTACAACAGAAGAAATGGCAATTTAAATAATATTTTACCAAATTCTATATCATGTCGACGTTGAGTATGTATTTCGACTGCAGTTTTTACTCGTTCCTTACTAGGTACTAGTCCACTTGTCTTAAGTGTTCTCATTGAGTTATAATATTTGGCATAAAGCTTCCCTTTGGGATTTTTGTTATGTCCATCCTTCATAAAATATGTATCCTAAAAAAAATATTATACAATTTAATTCCTGCTTTTATATCTTTGCTACCAATCTTTAAAACCTTACTTTCACTTCAGAAGGGAACATAGCAACAATATAAGTCGCAATGCTGTCAGCAAGATTTATAGACATCGGTATTTTTTTAGTTATTACAAAACTGATAATTGAATCAACTAACAACACACGTATGTTGTTATTTAATCTGCTGTTAACTTTAAAATAATCAATTATCATCTTTCCAGTCAAAGATGCATTTAATATTTCTCCCAAATTAAAAGTTACAGATGTAGAAGATAATTTTAATGGTTGATGGGGCTTTAAAGTTGATATATTAGTTGTTGTTTCATTATGATTAGTTGTTTGTGAAAAACAAAGAACATCTTGCTGATCAAGAGACTTCTGCCAATTTTCAAGGTGGTGAGTAAAAAGAACTTTGATACCAGTTGGATATGTTTTTAACATTTTAATAGCAAGGTCCCGTTTCATAATTGCTAATATTTTCATGTCAACCATTTCATCTATTTATTGAAAAATATTATTGTTAATACAAACAAAAGACCAATGTTATGGTATAAATAAAAAAAAAGTTAACTTACCAATTAAGGTTTTAGATAGACACTCCAAATCCCATTTTTTCAACAAATCAAATAATGGCTGTATTTGATCTATTGGATATTCATACCCTTCTAAACCTGATATTGACATTGAACAGTTATTTAAATCCTGTAAACAGTGAGAAATAATAGTACAATATTAATATTAGTATAATATAAACATGCAACCCATTTGAATTGAATACTAAAAAACTTGCAATATTCATAAAATCATCTGAATTATCATTATTATTTTCTATAACGATATTTTCACTTAAGTTGGCATTATTATCTTCACCAATCACATTTTCAAGCATTGTTAATTGTTTAGTGTGATTATTTTCCATGTTACCAAAATCAAATTCAGCACTAAAATGATAATTATTAATATTAATAAATATAAATATAATAATAATAGTACCTACCTAATAATAAAATATATATAATATATATTAATTATATATTGTTATTAATAATATTAGTTTTAATAATGTAATTAGTTGTATACAGCTCAAAATATATATAAATTATAAACAATAAATAAAAAAAGCAAGTACAGCACTAAAATAATAATATTAATTTAAATAATGAAATTTGTTATATACAGCTCAAAATATATATAAATTATATACAATAAATAAAAAAAAGGTTATGAAAAATATTCTTTTAATCGAATCATTAATTTTCCAGATGAAATTTGAGAAATATTTATAGGTGGTCCACTAAAGTCATCTATTTCAAATATAACACATTCCTTAATTACATATAGGCTGCTATCTACTTCATAAGCTTCAAGGTGCAAATGATAACCTGTTATTTTTACTTGTTTGGTTACTATGAAGACTTTATCAATAACATTACTTAAAACTATTAACTCTAAAATTTCAAATAAACATAATTCTTCAACAAACTTTGTTAAGTAGTAACCTCTTTTATACAAAGTTCCTTTGTATTCTATTTGAGAATAATATTTATAATCTGCTGTTGAAAGAGTAAGTATACTAAACAAAGATTCTGAATATAAACTACAAATATTATGATTTGAATTTACTATTGTCAACGTTGTTTCTGAGCGTAGAAGGTAGTGAGCAAACTTAAATTGAAATTTTTTAGCTAATGTAAGTGTGATATTTTTCCTTGAAGATGTGGAGCGAGCATACATTTTAATTTCTTTATGCTTTCCCTCAAACCTAAAACACCAGTAATGTCTAGGTGGGCCTGAATATTCTATTATAGTAGGATAGTGAATCAAAAAATGATGCTTGGGTTTCAGTGTATCATTAAAAAGTCTAATGTACATTGAATTATGTTGAATAATCAACTGTTTGAGATGTATTATTGTACTTTCAGTGAATGTATATGATAAAAGAATATCAATCATTTTAAGAAGTGTTAAAAAAAAATTCCACACTTCATCGCCTTCTGGAACTAAATCACCTACCATAAGTGAAAAGAAATGGACAAATGTCATCATTTCTCTTGCTGACATTTTTAAATGAAATTTATTAAGATGCAAATCAGTTATATCAGGAGAAATATTTCCAATTTCAATTGGTCCATAATTGAAATTTCTTTTACGACTGTTTAGAGTTTCTAAAGAAAATACTTGAATAGTATTGATAAAATATTTGATGATATGGCACATATCATATCGACAAACACCCTCAAATAAGTCATGCATAATGTCTATACAATAGTTTTTAGTAACATGAAAACTGTAAATTGTATTCATAATGGATTCCTTATAAACACCTGTTTCACTAAATACCAAATTTTCAACATCTTCTGAGTAGTTTTCAATATTTCTTAAGTAAGATACATTCTCTTCATTAGGTTCTTGGCATATATGCTTGTGAGATTTGCAAAACCGACAATAATAGTTTGAAGAAAAAGACTTACTAAATTCTAGTATACTATTAAGTCCCAAATTATCTCCTAAGACTAAGCCAAGTAAAAAGTAAACATGAAAATCTCCTTTTGAAGTTGAAATCGTTAATCCCTCTTTTTCCAATAAATTTAATTCATTAATTAATATTTTTAAGCTAGCATCATTTCCAAAATTTTTGATATCAGTTGATTTAATTAATGCTGCTAAAAATATATTGGAAAGTTTTGAATTGTTTTGGGCTAAAGGGAAGCTGTAATAAAAAGCAGCTATTGATTGAAATGTAGCGTGTGATCCCAAAGGATTGTTAATTTCAAAGTCATCAACATATAAGAAATAAGGGAGTACTATTTTTCCTTCATACCTTGATACTTTTTCCTTCCATAGTTTCCCTTGTACAAAATTTGAAATGGAACCAAACTTATTTGTATAGTCTATCAGTTGATTGTAAAAAATTTCATAGTTATTATTATATTCAAAAAATTGTTTAAACTGAAATTGTAATGGCAATAAAGTCCCTTTAGTTATTTTTTCATCATACATTAAATTACCGCTGTGATCAACAGGAGCAATTTCATTATTTATATTAAATTGTTTAATCTTAGATATCAAATTATTCTTTTTCAACCAATTAATTAAATGGTGTTCTGTACCACAATATTGAAAAGGATTTAATATTAAAATCTCAATTTTATGAAAAGTTGAAAGAAGTAATGGTTCTTTGATATCTTTTTCGACAACTTTTTTTTAAAATAGAAGCCATTGGCTTCAAAATACATTGTTTGATCCCTGATTGAATATTAACTACATCAACATTATTAAAATTATTGTTATTATAAAGACTCAAAATAAATTTCACAGAAGATTCATAAACAAGATTAATCATCTCATCAAAATTAAATGGAGCATTAGAATTATTATTTGTACAGTTTTTTTCATGTTGATTATCAACTACAAAATCGTCATAGACATCGTTGTTAGTGATGACTGCATTAGGAAAATTAAGTTGTACATTTGGTGATAGATTAGTTGTTGTAGACACATGTTTTTTTGTTACATGCTTTTTAAAGGCAGACAAGCAGTTAAACGATTGAGAACATGAACTCTCACAGCAGGTGAAGGTACTATTTGGCTTTAATAAGTGAATAATTTTATAATGTGTCACTAAAGCTTTTAAATCACCAACAGATACTTTACAAATATAACAAATCATCATGTTGTGTAATTCGGTATATATAACTAGTTGGACGGTTTTTGTGAAAAGGGAATCAAGTCACTTTTTGGACATTTTGATATTATACATGAAAATTGAAGGAAATTTCAAGCCAGATCTAGTGGTAACACTGTCATTAACATGTTACCAGTATTTTTATTATGTATTACAGTGCGCGTTTAGTGTCAAGTCAAAAATAAATATTTTTTTTGTGAGAAAGGTCTCAAGTCACATATTTTTTTCTATTTTTCAATGTGTTGATATATAATGTGGTTAAAATCTTTAAGTGTACATTAGTATAGCAATTAAAAATGTCGAATAGAATTAAGACGATGTTGAAGATGGCACGAAACAGTAAGTTACTTATTTTGAGTAATTTTAAGTGTACTTTTAATGATTTTATGTTTCATTTTTATTTTTTTCAGATGTCAACGTCACAACGGATAGAAAACTTCTAAAGCCGGTTGTTTGCAGAAACTTAGGTGATACATTTCTTTTGCAAACAGACAACAATAATACCAATAATTTGAAAAACTATTTAGTAGTGAGTACCTATACTTATTTATTAGACATGCTTACATATTACATAGTAAAAATAGTAATAATGTTATATCATAACATAAGTAGTGAATTTAACAAAATATATTTTATATACCTACCTAGTTTATTAAAAACAGTTGAAAACAAATGGTGTTATAGTTAATAATATGTTAAATTAATTATATATTACATAACCATAATAAAAAAACCCACCAACATAGATTTACCTACTTAAGATTTTAATTTAATTAACTGTAGTATAACAAATTAAAAAATATAAATAATAGAAGTATTTTTATCCTTAGGAATGGGTAAATAAATCAGATCCGTCGTATGGGCTATCAGACAATGATTATCCATCTTATGATGTCAATGATGTTACAAATGAAAAACATAATTTTGAAGTAATTTCTTAAGCAGTTTATTCATAGTATACCTATTTTAATGTATACGTTATTTTATAGAGTGAATTAACTTTAACAAATCTAGTAGGTAATAAAGTAATATTTTTGTATTTGTGTTTACAGGGTAATGTAACTAGTTGTGCTTATAATAATAGCAAAAAAGAAACTTGTATTACATTAAACAACATCAACTACACACTTGAATTTAGCAATGACACCCAAAATTATAATCAAATTACTGTGGAAAATAATAACTTTAATGATAAAGACAATGTTTTTAACATTATAGAAAACGCAAAACAAGTAAATATATTTCTAGTAAAACATTTTTATTAAAATTAATGTAACATTTTTTTCCTATTACCTATAATAGGTAAATCATGATGACAATATTTATGGCAAATCAAGTGTTATTTTGGGAACACCTGTATCGTCTGTAGAAAACCCAACGGCTATGGAACAGGTATGCATATTATAATGTTCAATTGTATATTATATATTTTTATAAAAAAAAAAAATGTTTATTTAATATAAACAGGATAATGATGACATCAATGACGAACCAAGTGTAATTTTGGGTACATCTGTTTCATCTTTAGACAGTCTTATACCTATGGAACAGGTATACATAGAACATATTATATACTATATGTGCCATTTTGGTTAAATATTTTAATATAATAATTTTTATTTAATATAAATAGGATAATTATGACATCAATGGCGAACCAAGTGTAATTTTGGGTACAGCTGAATCATTAGTTGGGAGTCTTGAAGTACATCTAAATACAAATAATCAAAATAAAAGAAAGTCTAGAGTAAGCTTGAAAGGTGATACCAGACAATTCAGAATTTATCGAAATCAAAAAAGAAATACTGGTTTGGAATATACGACTAATACAGGGAAAACAGTCAAACCCCGAGCATCTAAAATACTTCTAGATTGTAAAGCCAAATGTAAAAGTAAAATACAAGATGATTTACGTGAGCAATTGTTTAACATGTATTGGGCCATGGGTAGTTTTAATAGACGAACCTCTTATATGTCTAAACTTATTACATGTTGTCCTAAGAAAAGTTGTAGAAAAAGAAGGGATACACCAGAAAAACAAAAACCAAAGGAAAAGACATATAAATACTATGTACCAAGAGATGGTGATTTAATACAGGTATGTAAAGGTTGTTTTATGAGAATATTTTGTGAAAGTACTAAGTTTTTAAGAAATATTTGTACTAATATGCTAAATTCACCTGCACAACGATGCTCTCCAGATAAAAGAGGTTGTGCACCACCTGGAAACAAAC